TAAATATACTAGTCATTTTGCTGCCTCATATTTTATGATGGGAGCTTTTTTTTACTAAGGTGTTTGCTTTTCTACAGTCCTTTTCATTACACAAGGGAAAAAAGGACATTGGAAAGAGCTGTGTCTTGGTAGGTTCTTTTTTTGCCAAGTTTTGCTAGTCATGCTAAATTTTGCAATATGCTAGTCATGTTAAATTTTGGCAAGTGCTTCAGTGCCAAGATGGCAGTATTTTCTTTTGTATACTTGTGATGCGCAATTGTTTTTACTTTCAGTGTTTTATAGTTATCAAATAAATATATTTCCACAATAAAAGTGAATTTTTGTCTACAGATTCCTGGTCCAACATTTTTTTCGTAAAATGGTGATGTTGCTTGTTAAAGCGTGCCTGAAAGTTCGAGCATATCCAGTCTTTGCAGGCATCACTACCATTTAGATTAGGGTTGGACATGATGCTGCTTGTTTGGCAACACAGGGCTTGCTTTTCACAAATAAAGGTACGAGACTTTTCAGATGAACTGCAATATTTCCACCTTTTAGCTGTGCATTGGAGTGAAAGGTCTGCAGTATTGAATACCTTTCTGTTCTGAAAAGACGCTTTGTGAAACTTTTCAGACGAGATACCAAGTTGCACAATCTACCTTTTCCGAATAGGAAGCTGTTCAGTGCTGCAAACCTTTCACTCCTATTCACAGCTGAAGGGCATCACTACTAGTAAATTCGTCTCTAAAAGTGTCAAAATTCGCACACAAAGGGACGAAAGTTAGTCCCTCATTACTGCGAAATTCGTCTGTCTCTAAAAGGGTCAAAATTGATCCTCAAAAGGACGAAATTTAGTCCCTCATTACTGTAAAATTGATCCCCAAAGGGACGAGAGTTACTCCCTCGTCACTATAAATATCATCCCTTTAAGTGGTAAAATTAATCCCCAAAGGGACAAAATTAATACCCAAAGGGACACAATTAATACCCAAAGGGACAAACTTTAGTCCCCAATCACCCTCAAGGGATCAAAGGTACTCCCCCAATTATGGACGCGACGGCGCTCAAGAGACCATAATTAATCCCCTGAGAAGATAAACTTAGTCCCTGATGCCCTGCTGTAGGGATCAAAATCACTCCTTTTAACGGTTCAAAATTTCGACCTGAAGGGATCAATGGAAAGGGACTAAAAAAAAGGAAGGGACTAAACCGGGGTTTTGCCGTTTTCAGGGGATCACTCTCAGTGACATCGATTTAGTCCCCAAAAACGACGAAGTACTACTTTTTTTTCTTTTTTTTTTTCAGAGTTTACTTTCTCGAATAGTTCAGGTTGATATGCTTTACTATTGTTTCGTCCCGCAACCAGATATGGAGCCCGCGTGACTGAGAACAACAGGAAACAGAAAACGTCTGTACGTACGCTAAATTCGCACTATCTTTATATATGGCAGTCCTGTTTTTGAATCCGACTTTGCCGCTGACCGCCAACATTTGTCGCATAAACACGGAGAGGCAGAGTAAATATTACTCGTGCTTAATACATTATTTGAATCGTGCAGTGATGTGATTGGCCTGAGCCGTTTTGGAGCACCTTCTGGAGCAGCCAAAACAGAGTTTTGGAGCAGCAAAACTGGCTTTTGGAGCAGCTAAAACAGTGTTTCGGAGCAGCAAATTTTTTTTTGAATTTTTTTCTAATCCAAGTTTTCAAAGTTCGAAGTCCGATTTTCAAGTTTTTCCACAGTTTCAGTTTCAAATAACGTTTTCACGACTCACTGGTTTTCACGAAATCAAGTTTAGAAAACTTAGGGTGTGATATCTAGATTCTGCGAAGTTGGTCAGGCAATTAAATGAGACGACGAGTGTCCCGGATGGTGCTGGAATATTTGGCAGTGCAGAATTGTGACCGCCAGCCCCCGGGGGGGGGGGGGGGGGGGTCTTTAATTTGCATCACGCAGTAGTGATTGCACGAACACACTGTTTTACGAGACTCTTCCAGTTCGAAACGGCCAGGGGCGAACAGGAGGTTGAGGCTCAGAAAAACCTAGAAGCGACCTGGCAAACTACCTCGCCACCCCTCTGCACGCTGGTAGTAATCCGATCCGGTTAAGTTTGTAATTGTCCTGGAGGTTTATTTTCTGGGACGGAGGAATCGCCTCGCAAAAAGCACAAAAGCCGACACAACTCGAGGTCGAGGAGCGTTCTACCATACAAGTGGCGTCGGAAGAGGAAAAACGGGGGGAAAGAGGGTAGCGGGGGGGGGGGGGGGGGGGGGAGGGGGGGGGGGAGGGGGGGCTTCAGCCTCCTTCTCCCCCTTGCAGGTATTTCGAATTGTTAAAGAAAACAATACGGGGAAAGAGGGCGTGGTCGAGCTTATTTTAATCTGAAATTATTTATGCATATGTATAGCTACTGTCGCTCTTCACTGCATAAAAGATCGCGTAGATGGTCATTGTTAGAAACTCGTTGTCAGAAGGCACTGCTCGTCACATGCTTAGTGGTTCGGAAGTTCAAAGCTGTCTTTTCGACCTAAACACCTGTGCCGATAGTAACAAAAAAAAATAAATAAATGCGGGAATAAAAAGCAGGAGAAAAAAAAATTATCAAGAATTCGTCGGAAGTGTTCTATTCTTGCATATTCAGAGGTTCAGAACTTCGAAACAAGTTTCTTTTACCAAAATGTGTACAGACTAAAAGAAACACGTCCCAGGAACGTGAAGCGAAAAAAAAAAAATTTTCTTTTAATGACGTGCTGAATTTGAACACTCTTAGAAATCTTCTCCCATGAGTTAATTTATTCCTTAACGTGAAACAACAATAAATATATTATTTCGTATTCTGCAGATGGCAATGATATGTACTGTCTGTGGTCTTAATTTAAATGCGATACCTCAAACAACTTCGACGAAAATAAATATCAAGTTTAGGTTATAATTGCATGCAGATACATGTTTGGACATTTCTTCGAAACTCACGTTGAATAACAATAATCACATCTTAAGACGGCACTTACCTAGGTAATACATAGATCATTCTTAAAAAAAGTATAACATATCTACCATAAATAGCTCTGGCTGCAGCGTGCTTCAAATCTGGCACAAACGATAATCGTCAAAAACCCGTCGTCCTTCCTCGCCCCTTCGGGGATTTATTTCTTTAAACCTAAGCATGCCAGAACATTGAAATAAACGACATTGTCTTTCGTAAGGAACGCAGCACCGCGTGTAAAAGTTCGAGAAAAAAAAAATTACGAATGTACCCCGCTACTTGAAATCAAATGAAACCGTCCGCCGGTCTTTCGAAGTTCGATGAACGTCGAACTTTTACCCTAAAAGTTCAAAGTTCGTCGAACTTCTGACTTTTCAGAATCCGAAAGTTCGAAACTTTTCGAATTATCTTGATAAATAAGTTCGAAATTTCGAAATCCATCGAATTTTTTGGTCAGTCAAGTTCGAAAGTTCGACAAGCATCGAACCTTGCAGCGCAATAAGTTCGAAAGTTCGAATTTTTTAGCGTAATAAGTTCGACGGTTTGAAAAACGTCAAACTTCTTAGCTTAACAAGTTCGAAAATTCGACCTCCGTCGAATTTTACGATATAGACAATTCGAAAAATCGAAATCTTTCGAACCGCTTGATTCGATCATCGAAACTTTGATTCGAAAAAAGTTCGCGGCATCCCTAGTACGTACGCTTTATTTTAAGAGCATACATACGTTTCTCGGGGAGTTGACGGGGGTAGGAACGTAGAGACGGGTCGACTCAAATACAGCAGCAACTTGGCAACTATGAAATAACGACAAAAAAAAAAAAAAAAAAAGATCACGACGATTTATTTTCCGTGCGCCCGGGGAACATCAATTTTACCTCCATTTCTCCTCCCTTTTTTCTTTCTTTTTCTTTTCTTTTTAGAGTGTGGGTTTCGGTACTTCTCCGAGTCCGTGTCGAGAAGCTCCCATTAAAACTCGAGTAGCCGGCTGCGATGATTCTTGCACGTCCGATCAGGCTTTCACCAATCAAGACCCATCTTGTGGCTGTGGTGTGCTTGAGTCTTGTGCACGAGCCCGGAGTGCGTGAAGGCATCTCCAAACACCCCATCGCAAACCCAGAACTTCGTCGCTTCTATGCCGAACCCTTCTCGAGCAGGACCATGCCTGTGTTACTGTCATGCCTTGGGTTAGTAAAGCTAGTGGCGCTTCGCGCGAAGCCTATCACAGTGTCTTGTCTCGATCTGTACGTAACAACGGCGTACGATTGTTTTTTTCTTTTATTACGGTAGCAAACGTCGATTCGTCTTTTGGACAACGGCGTCACGGCGTTATGTTGGAGTTTCGCGGCACAGTGGGGTGCCGAACAGGTTCGGTCCGTCCTCGCTGGCGTCTGCTCGTCGTCTCCCTCGTGTGGATGCGTTTGAGAGACGGACGAACCGCGGACATATCGTCACGTGATCAATCCGTCCGCGGATCAGTCCGTCGTATGAATCGGCCTTTATCTGATCAGGCATTATCACCTGCTGCGACGCCAGCGTAACGCTTCTATTTGGGCAAGCTGCTTGTTTCAGCTATTTTGCGGCAAGCTGTTTTCGTGAGTCGTGGCAGGGGTTTTGCCTTGAGAACCAAATGTTTAGAAGTCTAGAGGTTACAAGCGAAAACGTCTGGGCAAAGTATCTGTATTAAAATAAATGTTTGGTGTTTGGTCTTTGTAGTCGCAGTTCACGCATTCACACTAACCGCCCTCTGCTCATGACGGCGTCATTAAAATAATTACATCAAACGAATTTCTAGCTACAAAATCGAACAACAAACTTCGACCGTCCAAGTTATGCAAGTGCGTCCGCATTCACAAATTTTGCGGCAACCAACAAACCAAGTAAAACATTCAATTTATTCACAGATAGGGGAAATGTCCGAGGATGCAACAAATTACGATACCTAACAGTACCGAGAAGACATCAAACCAACCAGGTCTACTTGAATACTAAAACATTGCACATGTTCGAAATTCCCAAAAATACAGTCGCTCTCATTCACACTTCGACGCACTTAGATACAACGCCCGCTTCCCGAGCCATAGCATAGAACGATGACGTCGTGTCATCAAGGAGATCCGTCGGAGTACCCACTTCAACAACTTTCCCTTGATCCATCACAACAACACGGTCTGACGCCAGAACGGTGTTAAGACGATGAGCAACGGTCAGAACAGTACATTCGCTCATTACCTCTCTCAATGTCTGTTGAACGAGCAAGTCTGTCCGCATGTCCACCGATGCCGTAGCTTCGTCGAGAACAACGATCTTCGTTCTTCTCAACACAGCCCTTGCAAGACAGACCAGCTGCCTCTGTCCCATGCTAAGGTTTAGACCGCCTTCGGCAACTTCGGAGTCTAAACCAGCACCTTTCCTGAAGACATCCCCGAGGTGAGATCTGTCCAGTGCCCACCAGAGCTCTTCAGTATCATGCTGCCCGGCCGGGTCAAGGTTGAACCGTAGAGTGCCTTCAAATAGAAACGGATCCTGCGGTATGATGGTCATCCTGGAGCGGAGGTCGTGTAACTTTAAGGTTGCAATGTCCACGTCATCCACTATGATCTTTCCTGCTGCCGCCTCGATGATGCGAAAAAGGCTCAGGGTTATTGTGGATTTACCTGCACCCGTTCGACCTACAATCCCTATTTTCTCGCCGGGACTGACGTCGAGGTCAAGATTCCTTAGAGCAAGTTCCAAGCCTTCCCGGTACCGTGTAGAATAAGACTTGAAGGACACAGCACCCGACCCGGGCCAGCGCGGGTCCGGACTAATGTTCGACGACCAAGGGGCTTCGGGAGTAACATGTCTGTACTCATCTAAACGCTCGGCCGATACCAAAGTTGCTTCTAGTTGGGTCGAGTAAAATAGGAGGTACTTGAACGGGGATACAGCCTTCAGCATGTAGGAGACCAGAAGGCCTGCTATTCCAGGATCTATCTTGTTGCGGTTGGTGATGACGAGGATTAGCATCGAGAGCAGAAGCACTTCACTGCACACTTCCATCCAGACTTCTACCCAAAACTCAAGATGAAGGCAGTTCACAGTACAGTTCTGCAGGATGTCCGCTTTGCCGTCGTTGCTGCGAAGGAAGTTGCGCTGAACACCATAAGCCCTGATGCTGCTCAAGCCCGTCAGGGTTTCCGAAAAGTGTTGGTTGACAGGAGAACGCGCGACAGTCTCTAGTCTTTTCACCTGGCGAAATGGAACCACGTATATTTGACGCAAAACCAGCAAGCATACAACAACCGGAGTGACAATTAAGATGTAAATAGGAAGATTAATACATACCAATACAATCGATGATGCAAAAAGAAACAAAAAATCGAGAGTGGAATGCGCTGCCATTGGCAGCTTGAAATCTAGCTGTTCAACGTCCTTGCCGAAGCGGTTCAATAAGCGTCCGGAGGGAGTGGAATCAAAAAATGACAAAGGAGCTCTTATGACACTGTCGAGCATCAACTGGTGAAGCGTTGTGGAGGCTGAAAGTGCTGCTCTCCACAATGTTGCGATTGCGAAGAAAACAGCAACCGCCTGGCATACACAGAGAAAAACGTAAATCTGGATTCGGTAGGCATGCAAATTTGTCTCCTTCACTCCGCCTTGAAGCAGCGAATCGTTTGTCCATTCGGCCATCCAGATACCCATGTACAGACTGACTGCTTTGTACATGGCATAAAAGAAAATGGCCAGTAGCAGCAAAGGTCCGGCATATCGTACGTATGTTTGGTACACCTGAAGACTGATTGAACCCTCCTCTACCGCCTCTCTCTCCACAAGGGTCGTCCTAGCGTCCTCTTCTCTATGATTCGACTGGTCGTACGATTCTGTAGAGGTTTCCTCGTTTTCTGCCATTTTTCGAACCCTCTTAGAAAAGTTCTTCAGCAGCTTCGAAAGGACGCTTCTTTCTTGTTTAAGTTCTTCAAAGGTACCAGACTCCACAAGGGAGCCTTCCTGCATGACAACAATGTAATCTACATCTGCGAGCACCGAAAGGTTATGCGTGACCAAGACTCTTGTGGTTTCTCTGAGAATTCCTCGTGGTCCGATAAGGTTCTCAAATAGGGAAGCGCCAACATGAGAATCTACAGCGCTCAGCGGGTCATCAAACAAGTAAAGGTCTCTCTTTTGGTACGCTGCTCTTGCGAGGCTGACTCTCTGCTTCTGACCACCGCTTAAGTTTACCCCTCTTTCGCCGATTTCCGTCATATCTCCATCTGGAAGAATCTCCAAGTCTTTATCAAGACAACATGCCTTCAGAACTATATTGTACATTTCGGTATCGTAGGTACTTTTAAAGAGCACATTTTCTCTAATGGTCGTGTTCTGGATCCACGGACGCTGGGGAACGTACGCCACACTTTCTATGCAATCAATAGTTCCTGAGCAAACCTGAATGTCTCCAAACAATGCAGAAAGCAAAGACGACTTGCCGGAGCCCACGGGTCCAACGACTGCGATCAACTGACCTCTTTTGATGTTCAGGTTAATGTTTCTCAAGGACGGGGATCTGTGCTTCGACCAAGAAAACGTTGCATTTCTTACTGACACAGCATCATCCTCATTTAGTTCTCGACCCACTGAATAGTAGTCTACTTCAGAGGATAGAAGAAATTTTTTAATCCTCGTAATTGACACGCCAGTCTGAACCACATTTGAAATGAAGTCCGGTATGATAAACATAGAGAACTGCACCTGATTAAATAAGGTCAACGATACAAAAGCAGTCGTGGCGTCAAGGACATTATCAGAGCTTATCAGAACGTAGGTCACAAAGCTCACCAGGGCAACCATGGAAGACGAACATGAAAGAATGAAGAAATTGAGAGCGGTGAAGTAGGTATATTTTTTAAGGACGCCTATCTCCTCTAACCGCACGGATGTGCATTTATTAATAAAAACATTTTCCCAGGCAAACAGCTTAAGAACTTTAACGCCGCCCAACATCTCTGCCACCGTACTCAGCCTCTTGTCCTTCATCTTCATCTGACTCGTCTGGTACCTGTTTCCGATGCTAGCCGCCATAGCCACTAAGGGCATTATAACGAGCATGGCCGCAACACCCGCGAGGCAGGCCACACCAAGGTACAGCCACAGAATTACTAAAGCCATCATGATCAGCGGCACTCCAGTGGCCACGAAACCAAAGGTGTTACTAAGTTGGAAAATCCGATCGGCATCAACGGAAATCAAGTTGACAAGCTCACCTATTGTGTGGTCCTTCTGTGAATCGTTAGAAAGGCGAAGTGTCTTTCTATAAATTGCCGCCACCATGACAGACTTGACATTTAGCCCCGCGAATATCAATATCCTGTCCATGTGGATAGCAAGCAGGCCAGTTCCAAAGTTAGCGCTTACCATCCCGAGGGCGTAAGAAATTCCTTTCCAAGTAGGCTCATTTTTGGTCATGTAGTCTGTCAGACGATGCAAAAGGAGAGCTGGGATGATACTTAGCAGGGATCGTAGAGTAGCGAGAATGCACGATAGAGCAACAGGTTTCCAATAGATCTTCCACAATGACCAGAATATTGAAGGCGGAGGTCGAGAGGCACCACATGATCCGTCTTTTGGAACGTAGTCCGCTGACTGCAGTTCCTTCTTCCAACCCGCTCTCCACAGTCTGTAGTGTCGTCCAGTCTTCATGTGCGGTGGTATGCTGTAAATATCTTCAAGCTGAACAGGGCGCCGTGATCTCTTAAGTATGAAAGGTGTTAGCCACCAAAAGAGAAGAAAGGACAATGGCGGAGCACTGAGGTAAGGCCTTTTCGCGTCTTGTCTGGCGACCGTCCAACAGGATAGAAACAACTGCAACATAATCACCGGAGAAGTTGACGCCCACGCGGCAAATTCAAGAGTCGAAAAGCGAGGCAAATTGTCGTCTGACGTAAAAAGGTTTGTCACGTGGCGGAAGCACTCGGGGAGTTTGCAAAGAACGGTCACCAGCCAAAAGACAAACAGCAACAGTGAAGACCCAATTCCGTTCATTCGATCGTTCTCCTGAACTTTCCAGGCGATGGCGAAACTGAAGGTATATACAAGGTCTGCTATCACCAATGACCCGGATGATGTCCCAGCAACCAGTTTGTACACGAGCCAAAAGGCATAAGTGAGGGTCAACACAAGACTTGCGACGAATCTAGACAGGTTTAACGGAGTCCTGGAGAGTGGTTCGCGGTAACGGTGTTGCTTTTTCCGTCGTCGCACAAGCCACTGGACGAAGCCAGAAGTGACGAGAAGAATCGCTGGCGTGTAGACGAGGACTGTATTCTCGAAGCATGAGGTCAGCCGTGGGTATTCCGAGTTCCACGTGTAATCCCAGTCCCACAACACCGATGTGCAGAAAGGCGCCATCAGTCACTCGTGGTCTATTGTACAGGAGCCAAGGGCGACATTACGCTCTAAAGAAATCACAATTCACTTGCCCGAAACCAATCTCGAGGAATAAAATATGTGATAGCGACTCTGGCGGCACGAAAAATGATCACGCAAACTGTACGAAAAGATGAAACCGTTGGCGCCTAGCGTCGAAAGAAAACAACGAAAACGTAAGTAAAAATGAGCAACCGGGGCAATTTCCGGTGGACCATTTTATTTTCCAGCTGCAATCGAATATACGTTCTACAGCTACGTAACTGAAACGGCGTCGCGTCTGTGCACTGCGCTGTCTTCCAATCTAACCAACGTAGGACATCCATCATTTTCCCAACGTGCATTACAGCCCTTTGTATTGTTGTAATATTTATTATTTTCATTTTTACTGCCGTTTGTGGGGTCAAAGCAGGGGAGTAAGCATGTTGAAAGCGCACCCAAAAGTATAAATACAATCGAGAAATACAGCCACGTGTTTTGTGGTTTCGACTTTGCAGTTTTAAGCAGACGTTGGAAATCTTGAATTTAAGACATGTGTCGATCTTAACGAGAATAAAAAGTTTATTTTCCGGCGTCTGCGCGTAAACATACTAACGGAGCTTTTTGCATTACAGCTAAATACTTAGTGTTGTTGAAATGGAACGATGCCCAGCTGCCAATGTAGCTTCGTGTAAGAAGTAACTTAATTTACTTAATTCACTCCTATCCTAATCCCCCAGCGGAGACTATGATAGGAGTGAGTACAAGAAACAATAGACAATGAATAGACCTGCCGAACCCCCAAAAACCAAGTTCAACCTTTCCCTTTTTCAGACCACGCTTTTGCGGCAGCCCAGGTCGGGAAACCGTCTTCACGACAAAAAAAGGTCGGCGTGGTGGGGCGTGTGGGAGCTGAATGAGAGCCATCTCGAAGACGAGGAGCTTAAAACAAAAATAGCCACTATCATAGAGAATAAATTAAAGGGAGATTAGCGGATGCGGTACTATGGGAAGAATTCAAAGAAGAGGTGAAGGCGCAAGCATATCAATACAGTAAAATGAGGGCAGACAAAGCCAAAGAGGAAAAACCGCTACTCACAAAGAATGTATGCTTGCTCATAGAGGAAGAAAACTGGACGTCAGGCGTCTTCACACAAGACATACGAGACTGCAAAGGTCGCATTCTAGGTATCTTAGAAAGTACCGAGGTGCTATCATCCGTAGCAAAGCTACAACCTTTGAGAGAGAGGAAGAACCGGCGAAGAAATGTTCAAAACGAAGGAACAGCAGCACGCCTGTCGAAATAGGATAACAACCCCGCCGATAAGAGACTCTGTGCTCAGCGAGCAGGATGTCATCGAGGAGGCTTTTGTGAAAGCGTACACGGACCTTTTTTCGGAGAAGAGAGGTGCACAACTCCCTCGGCTGTTCGGAGAGCCGCTGCAAGGATTGTCTGACCCCATCAAACGACAGATCAACCGTCCGATTACCACGTCTGAAGTAGAAGAAGCTATAAAAAAACCTGGCACCACGTCAATCTCCCGGATTCGATGGACTGGGCAGCATTTTTTACAAGACCTTCTCGGCTCGACAGGGACCAATTCATTGCAACGTATATGAGGACACTTCCTCCATCCATGCGACAAGGGGTCACTGTGCTCATACCGAAAAGGAAGTCCGAGAAGACTCAAAGTGTTAATCAGATCAGGCCAATTAGCCTGCTGACCAGTGACTACAAGATATTCGCCAAGATTCTAGCAAACCGGCTAAAAATGGGCTTGGATGACTTAATCGGCAAGCATCAAACGTACGGCATTCCAGGAAGGACGATAGGAACGAACCTTCAGGCAATGCGAAGAGTGTGTGAGGCGGCGGAGGAGCTAGGGTGTCCTCTGGCGGTGCTGCAGGTGGATCTCAGCAAGAGTTTTGACAGAGTGTGCCACGCGTCTTTGTTCTGACTTTTGGAGCAGTGCGGGATCGGTGAATTTTGCGCTTTGTGCTATCGTGACGTCATTACCCGACTGCTCGTGAACGGAAACAGAACAGCTCCCATCCCTGTTTCCGGGTTAGTGCGACAGGGCTACCCAATGTCGCCCATTTTATTTGCATTGTAATTGGAACCTCTGTGCAGAGCGATAACAAACGATGCAGACATTCGGGGGCTCTCCTTGTCATCTAGCTTCATAAAGGTCCTGGCGTATGCGGGCGATGTGGCGGTGATATGCTCCCCAGGAACTCAAGTGCGAGCGGCAGTGCAGCGCATTGTGGACTTCTGCGGCGTATCCGGCGTGGAAATGAACTGCGCTAAGTTCGTGGGGGCCTGGCTTGGCCCTTGGGAATCCAAACCGGAGCTGTTTCTTGGTGTCACCTGGGGGCCCAGCATACCAAATTATTTGGGTGTTAGCCTGACGACTAATCAAGTGAATGCTGCGCGGGAGGGAGAGCATCTGCCGCGTTTATATTTCAAAGCGCTGGAATGGCGAGGCAGATATCTGTCTTTATTCATTCAACCGCGCTTCCGTTCGTAACAAGCGATACCTTCCTCGCCAAGTGAAAAAGCCAAAGTGCATCGTTTTTTTTGCGACATTCGTGTGGGACTCGCGAATCAAGCGCCTGCTGCGAAACAACCTTTTTTTTTTTTGTGCCAGGGAAAGGGTGGTTTGGGACTTGTAAACATCGAACTCAAGCTTAAATGGTGAACCGAACATTTCAGTGTCTATAATAAGCGGCGCACTATCCATGAGTCAGCAGCCGCCGGTGTGCGCGAGCACACGCAACGAAATTGACGTCATCATATCCTCTATTCGAGCTTATTAGGCGTGAATGGGGAATATGATGACGTCAATTTCGTTGCGTGTGCTCGCGCGCACCAGGGGCTGCTGACTCATCAAAACAGATATTGCGCCGCTTATTATAGACACTAACATGTTCGGTTCAACATCCCTTTAAGGTGCACCTATACCTGTTTTTTAGAGATGAACAAACGCCACACATTACAGCCTCTTTTCGAGAGCTAGGCGGCAGCTTCCTTCGCGATTAGCTCGCAGGGGCAAAAGAAACCTCTAGGGCACGCGTTCTGAGATATTATAAAGAGGCAGCAGCAGCCATCACGTATCTTGAAAGCAAATTCTCAGGGGAGTATCTGCGAAAGATGAAGAGGGAAACACTGCACTAAGTCACCCTAGACATTTTATATCCACCTCCATTTTACCGCTCACAGCGAATGCGGCGTGGGAGATCATTACTCTTTTAGGACTATGGGCTCTTTGGCGGTCAAGGTCGGACCACGTGCACGTGGTAGAGTGTAGCAAACCAGCCTGGCGTCATTTTGTGGAGGGTTTTGACTATGTGATCTCGCTGACAAAGGAGGCAGCACGGCCGGGACTGGAATGCTGAAAGAGCTGTCCACACGACTGGAGAGACGAACGCGGAAATAGCAAATGGCACCTAGCTAGGGCGGCCCGAAGTGCGAAGGCGCTCAACAGGACACGGCCGGGTGTGCTAGTGTGCATTAAAGGCCGACCTTTCAAATTTTAATGGATAGTATAGAGAATTTCGCAATATGGTATAGAGCTTCCTTCTGTGATGCCACTCTGTAAAATTTTGTAAATGTTCTTGTTAAAGAACAAAAAAAAAGGTAAGGTGTCCGCTTCACACGCAGTGGACCCAGGTTCAATCCAAAGCGTGGGCAAACAGTTTTTTTTTTATGTTGCTTTTTTACATTTTGCGCTATTTACATTTATATTTTGTACAATTATTACTGAAAAGAAATGTTGTGGACGAAACGTCGCTGAACTAAATGGTATGGGACTCCCTTTTTGACGCCTACGAACTTAATGTCACTTTCCACAAAATCACAAAGAGCATATAAATCGGGTAGCGCCCGCTTTCCGAGTGCCCAAAACTGTTCTACAGGAATTGCAGCCAGCCATCGGTCCCCGATTCCGTTGATCTTTCGGAAACTTGTGCAGACCTTGCTGCACAATGCCACTTTCGGATGCAGGACCTGTGAGGCAGCTTTTCACGAAAAACCTTGGGGGCATTCTTTTCGGAGCCGATTACGGGCATTCCCCACGGGCACTCACTACTCATTTCCAACTCTTCAATGTACAAAACAACTCATCTTGAAGTGCAGAAGAGTGAGCGGAACAAACAGCTGCAAAGCAATCGCACGACAAACGGTACGCGCAACGCTGTAAAATCGTCTGCTGCGCGCAAAACAGAAAAAAAAAATTGGGCGAAAAAAAAGCGCGGTTGGGTGTAGCCACGTGACTTCTGGCACTCTCTCCTCCTCTATCTCCCGACCGCCAAGCATATCCGGTATGGGCGACGAAAAAATATTAAAACGTTTCAACCTATAAATAGTAAAAAAGTAGAGGGGAGACAAAAGGAGAATGGGTGACGGTTACGCCGTCACCCCTTCTCCTTCTCTTAAATGCATTCTATTGGCGTAGCGACGGCAAAACAATGTATTCGCCCATACTGGAAGAGACGATATTTCAATATCGTCACTACTGCATTCTATTGGTGGCGCCCCTGTGAAAAAGGCCTATATTTCTCCGAGCTGCGTGCGCAGGATTCGGTTTCGAGCAGTTGCGTTTCTTGGCTTTATTAAAAATGTATGTCTCTGTAGCAAAATATTAATTGGGCAGTCTTCTGACATTATATTAAATCACCTGGTAAAAATTTAAAAAATTAAAAATTGGGGGCGGGGTTCAACCAGACATTTCAAAACCTTGGCTGCGTTGTATATATACTGAGCATAAAATAGAAAATATTTTCCCCAAATCGCGCAACGACCGTATTTTGATCACTTTGTCGCACTTGATATCATCTTTGTAGGAAAAGCTTCCCTCACACCCGAAGAGGCCTTGGATCTTTTGTGCAGTCTTCCTGACGACCCACAGTGCAGTGAGGAAGACTGTGACAGCAGCGAGGAAGAGTTCATCCCTGAGCTTGCCCCTCCTGATTGAAGCAAGGAAGACATGGAAGACGCAGGCGCTCCATCAACTAGAAGGGATGCACTATCAGCTAGCAAGCGAAAACGCAGGGCATCCTGCGGTAAAAGAAGGACAAAGAAGAAAGTTCCAAAAGCATGCAATGAAGATGCGGAAGGTGTGTCCGATCTAGAAGAAGAGGTCCCGGGTACATGGAGTACCAGTGAGCCAACGAATGTGGTAAAAAATCCCTAAACTTGGGATCCGCAGTATTCCGCAAAGTCTCCGAGAAAGCCAGCAGATGCCTTCACCCTCTACTTTGACGACCCTGTCATGCACATGCTAGTTGAAGAAACAAACCATTATGTGGAGCGAACGTGCCGAAAAAGTGAAAAAAACTGACGACAGATGAACTGCGTGCATACTTGGGGGTGTTGATACTTATGAGCGTCAACCCAAGACACCAGTTGTACCACTACTGGAGCTCCGATGGTTTCCTCAGCGCACCAGAAATATCGAAGATGATGTCATTCAAGCGCTTCCAATCCATCATGAACTGCCTCCACGTAAGCGACAAGAGCAAACCAAAAAAGAACGGAGAAGATGGATTTGACAGGCTTGCTAAGGTTCGCCCTCTCCTGGACGCATTGAACACCAGTTTTCAAAGCGAGTACACACAATCTGTGGATCACGCGGTTGACGAGTGCATGATCCGATTCAAGGGAGGGTCATCGATAAAGCAGTTCCAGCCCACGAAGTCAATCAAGAGAGAATACAAAGTGTGGGCAAGAGCAGACTCGAAATCCGGTTATTTGCTACGGTTTGAAGTGTATGAAGGAAAGAACGCAAAGCGGCCGGCCAACAACACTCTAGGAGAACATGTCGTGCTGTCGTTATCGGAAGGGATGGAGCCTGGCTCTCAGTTGTATTTCGACAACTATTTCACGTCCACGCGCCTGATGGAAGATCTTGCAGAGAGGGCTATCCTTGCTGTAGGCACCGTCCGAACAAACAGAAAAGATCTTCCTGAGGAACTGATGAAAACAACAAACTGCAAAAAGGAGAATTTCTATGGCGGACAACGGGGCAGGTTACTGCTTACCAGTGGCAAAGATTAGCCACCCACATAATGTCCCCCTGGGCGTATAACTCATTAGCACAAACCGCATAAGTGTAGCTTTCATGCCTTTTTTTTAAACAAATCTGCAATAAAAAAACACCCTGTATATGTGAGACATGGAGTAACGACAGCTATCACATGCTTTGTAGGTTTTATTTGTAAATCGGCATCACGACTATGATTCTTATTAAGAAATAGAAGACTAGAACATACCTAAGTTATCTGTTCTGGCGCTTCCGGGCTGCAAGAGCTGTTAACTACCCTAAAGTTCAGAGAGAACGCCCACCCCCGAGAGGTCACCCATCCCGTTCTTCTGGCTAAATATGTGAGACATAAAAATTCCGAAACATCGCCCACCACCCAATTCCGGTCAGACGTCACGCGATGTCCAACCGGAATCGCATCAACCGCGCAATTTGCTGTGCCGGCACGTCTGACAAGGGAGTTCATAGTGGGTTCCCGCGTTTTTGTCCGCAATCTGCGTGCGAGATATCGGCTCCCGTAACACGCGAGTTGTTCCCGCGTGTATGTTGCACCGTGAAATGCGAATATGCTACGTCTGCAACCTTCGGTATCCGTTCCCGTGACATAAAGTTTGTAGCGGATTCCCGCGCTTCTGTCCACGATCTGCGCGCGCGATCTCGATTTCACGCGAGTTGGTCCAGACTCCAGGGTGTATATTGCATCATGAAATACGATTTTGCTGCGTTTGCGATCTGCGGTATTTGTTCCCGTAACATAATAGTTTGTAGCGGATTCCCGCGTTTTTGTCCGCAATCTGCGCGCGCTGTATAGGTTCCTGTGAGGCAAGTTTGTAGCGGGTTCCCGCGTGTTTATTGCAACATGAAACTTGAGTCTGCTGTGTCCACGATTTGCGGCACTCCTTCCGGTGAGATGCGAGTTCTCGGCGGGTTTCCGCGGGTCCTTCGCACCAACAAACGCGAATCTGCTGCGTCTGCAACCTGCGGTATCCTTTCCCGTGGCACAAAGTTCGTAGAGAGTCCGCGATTTGAAAAATAGTGCGCGTCGCCTATCGCGCAACGCTGGAAACTTCGACATTTTCGGTGCGAGGCTGGTAAGTGGTTGGAAAACAACTAGGCTTCGCGATGCATGGTGTTAGCGTCGGCGATAGTCTAATGGACAGTGAACCATGATTTGCTGCGGCGGAAGCTAGAAGCACACCTAAAAGCAGAAGTAATCGAACTACTGAGGAAAACATACAGGGCACAAGTGTGATAATCGGGCGGCGGAGAAAAGCTCACCGGAGAAAAGCTCACCGGAGAAAAGCTCACCGGAGAAAAGCTCACCAGAGATAAGCTCACCGGAGAAAAGCTCACCGCAAAACCGGCAGATGCGGAGAAAAGCTCACTGATATTTTTTTTTAGCTTAGCTTGATTCTGCGTAAAACGTGGCAATTGAACACAATTCGCATTCGTTACTTCATTAAAAATATGTACTCGTTTTTGTAATATTCTTGAGGTTCATTGGGCATATTTACTAATTCCTCAGAAATTAGTAATCACCCATTTTGTAAATTAATGAAGCCGCAAGTATAAAATCAGAACATCCTACACCGGTAAAAAAGGCAACAATTTATTGACAGCTGAGGGTGCGCCGTCGGTAGCTCTGTCAGATAAAGAGGTTTGTTTTTTTGCGAGCTAATATGAATAGCGGTGTGTGAATCGCTTGAGGTCCAAATATTGTGTACTGCCTAATAGATAAGTAGATGTTTGTTAATGTAATCAGTGTCGGCTACGCTGTTTTCTTTCTGTTAATTTCACTAACAAAACTTTAGTTGCGCGAACAGCTTCGTCGTGTCATGTTTGTCGTCGTTGTCGTTTGAGCGGTTTTCATCATGTATAACGTTTACCAACTCGCCCAATTCGCTACCTACCTTACAAATGACTAGTTCTTATATAGCTCACGAATAACAACGGAGACAGTGTGCACCTCTGAAGGTCATGGCTGACGCACCGTAGAAGGACACTATCACACAAAGGGCCCGTGGAAACACCAGCACGAACGGTTAGAAAGCGTGCATGTCCGTGGGAGAAAAAAGCCTCGATATTCTATTGACTGTTTTATCCTGTTTTCAAATGTTAAGAAAAGCTTCAAAGAGAATTTCAGGCACCGCCGTGTTGCGCGTGCACTTTTGAATTTTCGGCATTTACACCTTTGATTTTTAGGTTTTAGGCAGTCATCATTACTTTTTTTTTTTAACTTTTTCCTGTTCTTCAACTTCATAAAGATTTTAGTTGGGCTTTCGTTGCCTAGAGAGTAAGCCACAAAAAACACTGGCCCGCAATTATTAATTTGGGAGCAATATACCCATTAAGCTTAACAAATATTACAAAAGAGGACATTTTATTTTTTACAAAGCTGACGAATTTTAATGATAATAGATTTATATATGTTACGCACGATCCAACAGCCTCCATATAAAAAGAAGAAAAAATATCGGTGAGCTTTTCTGCGCATACGCTCAATGGCCGGTGAGCTTTTCTCCGCATCCGCCGGTTTAGCGGTGAGCTTATCTCCCGTGAGCTTTTCTCCGGTGAGCTTTTCTCCGGGATTCGTGATAATCGAGGGGGAAGAATACACAACAAAGAGATCAAAATCTGCAGAGGACTTCGAGAGGGCTGCCCTCTATAGACCGTTCCATTAGGGTCATAGCAGAGAGGGTAAAAGAGAAAAAAAATGCACTCCCCCTCTCCCCCGCAAGCCGTCCGCTCCGCCGAGTGGGCTGTAGCTAGCGTCCGGCTGGCGTGCAAACTCTGTTTAAAATCGCGTCATTTTGAAACTTTCAAGCGCAGATGCACAGATTTTGGTATGCCAGTTATCGTGTAATACTATGCTAGATAAAAAAAACTCACATGGTCCAATTGCACTATTACCTGCGTGCAAATAAAAAACAAAAATAGGGAAAACTGTGTCAGATTGGCCGGTCTCTTTGGCGAAAAGAAAATCCGGTTACTGTACCTTTTTTACTATACAAAAGTTCGTACTGGTGTAGGCCTTTAGCGACCATGAGTGGAAGTCTGAAATAATAAATAAAAACGTGCTCTCCTGCCGCAATACACGCAGTAGTTGAGGGTAGTACTGCCGGCTGACTCAACTGCTATTTAAGTAACGGAAAAAAGATATGCTAGTTTATCATTTAGCAAAATAGAACAACCGAGACTATAGGCTGATTTTGGAGTAGCCACAACTATTCTAAGAACGCGAACCACTTCACAACGGCAGCCACGAGCGAGAGTTCGGTGTTCGGTAGAGCCCGCCGATACCGCCCAAAGATGGAGAACGGCAACCTCCCGGTTTGTCGTCTGCTAGCGGAGTCGGCGGCGTGCCCTCTCTCTCGTTTTACCCCGCCGAACCCGCTGAACTTCCCGGATGTGTGGAGAGGGCGCTGCGGTCGAACAAAATGGTGCCGCCCAGAGAGCGCTAAATGGAATGGTCTATACCCACTACTATTCATGATATACGTAAGCGATATGAAACAGGACATACAACTAAGTAACAAAGGATTCGACTTGACATACAAGAAGATGGGACAACAAGTGACACAAAAGCTACCAGGGCTTCTTTATGCGGACGACCTAGTGCTCCTCACTGACACACCACAGGAGCTTCAAGAACTTATGGAAATTTGTGGAAAAAAGGGGCACAACTCGAACTGAAATTCGACCCGCAGAAGTGTGCAGTGGTGGGGTGGGGAGATGTAGGAGAGTATAGAGATAACAAATGGTCAATAGAGGGGCGAAAAATCCACTGGACTGAAAAATACAAATATATGGGCATCTAAATGCAGGAGGAACCTAACTACCAAAGATATCACGAAGAGCAACTTCGAAGACGGGCCCTGCGAGGCAAATGGATTCTTGGTAAGAAATCTCTCTGGACCCTTAACAGGCTTGGGGTGATGCGGGGACTGTGGAAGATGGTGGCGGTCCCGGGGCATAACTTCCGGAAACAAGGTAATGTGTCTGTTGTCGAACACTCGCAACTTCATCGAGACGAGGCAGCGAGAGGCCAGAAGGATGGCACTGAGGGCCCCGTCAAGAAGCCCCAATGACCGAGGTCCAAGGACACCTGGGCCGGTCGAGCTTTGAGGCCAGCGAAGCGGTGGCCAAAGCAGGCTATGAAAGACGTCTAGCCGGAATGAATCACGCCAGATGGGCCCACAAGGTCTGGGAATATGCGATCTGCAAGGAACATAACACAAGATGGAGGAAGAGAACAAGGGCACTCTCGTATTGCCATAACATGCCAGTCGAGTCGCTAGCGGAGCCGGGCGAGGAACGACAGGAAAATAGGGGAACAGACGACAAAGCGGTGAGGAGGCTGGTGCAGGAGGAAGAGCAGCGACGCTGGAGAGGCGGAATGGCCCGGAGATATCTATGCAGAGGTACAGCTCGCTCAATGGCAGCATTAGGAAGGAGAACATTGGAAGCGGCCTGCTATACGCAAGGAGTGCTCTAGTTTTGCCACTGACTGCAGCGCTATTCCAGACCCTAGCGGGACACTTTGATGCTAACGGATCGCGTCTGGCAGTTTTCTCCTACGCGTTTCGCTGCCCTCTTCGTCGCTTCACGAGTTACTTATGTAGGAGGAATGAAGAAAAAGAAACGTAAACCTGGCACACGATACTGTTGCGTGGTTGGTTGGTTGAAGCAACAACCTCAGAGAACGGAGTAGCAAGTCTCTGCAATTCTACCGTTTCCATGGCAAAGCGTACGAGACCCAACGACGGCAAGCCTGGATCACGGCAGCGCGCCACAGAAGTACTTTATTAGTAATGCATGAATTTTGCTTAATGCACCGATAATGAACTGGGATGGAATTAGTATGACGATCAGCATAAAAAAATGCGGATATGCCAAGTTTGGTAAAGCGCTGTGGCGATGCCGGCGTCACGAGAGTTGGCGATTTACGTGCTCGTATCGTAGAATTTATACGTCTGTGGTCTGCAGGATCCTTGAGCGCATCATAAACAAGAAG